CTTCTAAAGTCAAACTATGATGTGTTTTTCCCTTAAATATATAAAATATGTTCAGGTTTGTCAGTAAATGAATTGGGCACAGTAGCTGCAGCATAGTGTGCTCATTTGTGGGGAAAAAAAATTTAGTTTTTCCCCCCATCTGGCCATCAGAGAGAATTCACAATACCACAACAGCTTATTTGTATTCTGTATTCTATGTCATGCTTTTAGATGTGAGTGTGAGCCAGTGGTGCAGCACCTCCACTTCATAAAATCATGGTCATATTCCCTCAGCTGCTACCCCTATCATCCTGTATTTTTGCCAAACATCCAATAAAAAAAAGAAGAAGAAGGGGAAAAAAAGAAATGAAACAGAGAGAGGTAGAGGCAATTACTTTGATTACAGGAATCTTAGGATGCCTCAAGATTTAAGTATATGATTGGATGTGGAGAAGATTCATATCCGGACTGCTTGCGTTTGTGTTTCGGGATGTCTGTGCTGAAGTTCGACATATGTTAACTTGTTAGTCCTCATTATATAATGTATCAGTGTGCCGGTGTCCTCAGACAGGCCTGTCACTTCCTTCGCCTCACAGCTACACACTCTCCTTGCATCCTGTGGCTCAGCGGGGGTGATCCATGCAGGGCTTTATCCTCCCAGATTGCAGCTAGTGATTACGGCTGCCTGGATAGGAGGAAGCAGGCTGTGTTGATGGCTTGAACAAATTGAATCAGCTGGAGGAGATTTAGAACACAGCTGTCCCATTTTCTCTGACTGAGCAAGGAGAAACAAACACACACATACACCGACACACACTCTGAAAGATAGAGTCCCGCACATCCTGCCGCATATATGTGTGTATGATAGTATTTCAAATCGAGTTAAGTACATCTATGGAGTGTATATCTCCAGCTTCAGACACACACAGCCTATAATTTCCCCGCAAGTACATTAAACTTCTTGTGAACTTTTGCCTGTTTGGATTCTCCTTCAGAAATCAAAGATCTCCACCTATGAGAAGATGTGGGCTTTCATGAGCAGCAGGAAGAACACTGCATTAGTTAAGAACAACAGGGAGGGCATCACCCGGGTCTTGACGACAGACTACGCCATGCTGATGGAGTCCACCAGCATCGAGTACATCAGCCAGAGAAACTGCAACCTCACACAGATCGGAGGTCTCATAGACTCCAAGGGCTACGGAGTGGGAACGCCTATCGGTAAGAAGAATGACTTGCTCCTCACTGCCATCTTTGTCAATTATTAAAGAATGAAAAGCCCCACAGAAAAAAATCAGCAAAGGGAAAAAAGGCAATTACATGTCTTTTTGCTGTAATGGAACATGGATTTAAAATAAGCCCCTTATTTTCTGTTGAAAATGAGACCAGAACTCTTCCATTTTTGAAAGGTACCTCTACCAAAGCAAAACCCATTCAAACTTTCATGCATCCATAACTTGTTCTCTATGATCGACTGCCCGCATTTAACCTCAGCGTTGGTCAAAACAAGCCACAGAGAAGTAAATATTGCACAAATCCCATTTACACAAGCGCCTGTAAAAGTGTTAAAAATGCACTGAAGGTCTTGTGTGACTAGAATAGAATTTCAATAGAACCTCTGTAAATGGAGGCTTTTTGTGCTTTTGATACCTATTTTATTTTATTTGGAATTTGAATCTTTAAGTGCGGAGCTGCGATCCCGTATCCTCAGCATGCAAATGCACTTCCATCAAAAAGCTCTGCCAGCTGTTCAAATGGGCAAATGTTCCTGTAAGGTTTTCAGCCAGTTTTGTTGAATTGAGTACTTAAACTGGAAGCAAGTCAACCTGCTGGACCGTGTTTGCAGTCAGCACTGTTGGATGTTTACTCAAGCAATACTTAACATCTTGCATCTCTCTCATGCTTTGCCTTTTCCTCTCGAGATTTTCTCTAGTCTTTTATTTAATTTTCATTTATTTATCCTAATATGTTCGACTTTATGGCTTTCACTGTATTCCATAGCAAGAACGTGCTCCGTAAGTTGCTCACATTCACGAGGAGAAGTTGCCAAATACGAGGCATACATTTAAATGTATGGGCACAACAGCAGAATTATTGAATGTATTAAACAGCAGAAGGTGCAGTGATTTGAAATAGAGCAAAAGGTACATTTAAGACTAAAATTATGTGCAAGGAAAACTAAAACAAAAAAGTTTAAAGGTTCTTCGGCTCAGAGGCTCTTCTCTCCACAGACATTAGGAAGGCACACAGATCTCTGTACCTTCTCTGCATTATAGGTTTCTATCTATTTGTCATCTGTCCCTTTTTACGGTATATTTTTAACAATATGTCCTTAGATATCTCGTTCCCTCTGGCTGTCTTACCCTGTTATCTATGGAATGTTTTTCATGGCTGCAGCATGGGTGGAAGGCAGATCCAAAATTCCTACAATGCCAGACAATAAAGTGAAGCTTGAATGTTGACACACCTCCACCAGAGACTCAAGCTTCCTTCATGTCAGCAGGCCAACCTGATGAGCCTGTTGTCAGATGCTCTCACTCGGCTGCCTTCTGAAAATATCCCGCACTGCTGAAAATAATAACGCCCACCACAGAATGGAGGAGCGTCTGCAGCATAGTGCTGCAAAGAGGGCGACTAAGCAAAGTTCTCTGTAGAAAAGTTAAATTGGCACTTACCTGTGATAATCCAGTTCAGTGTGACATTGTCTGTTTCCCTGCTGGTAAAAGGCCACAAAAGCTAGCAAGCTTGAACTAAATGCAGAAACGTAAAAGGTACCTGCACCTCTTAGATGCTGTAGCTAGAAAAAAAAAAAAAAAGGATTCTTTTCAGTTGGGACACTAAAAGATGTTTTTGCCTCTGTGACCATAAATGCATTCTAGAGGACGTGAAATGGCACAAAGACCAGTAAAATAGTCACAAAATAACTGATGCAAAGCAGAAAAATGATGCCTTCCTCCACTCTGATGTCTAGCTGATAAACAAACTGTGTTCAGGACAGAATGTGCGTCCGGATCCGGTCACTCCAATTACTGACTTATTTATCAGTTTGGTGTGTTTGGCAGGACGCAAGGGGACTCGGTACAGGTTCAGGTTTAAGGTTAAAGACATCTTTAAGAACTAAATACACAACTGAGTGGCACACCGCTTTAGGAGCTCTAGGCTGATACCCTCAGGGCAGATGCAGCTGTGACTGGGCTGAGCTGACAAGCTGGAGTCTGTTTGGCTCCTTCCTCACCTGATCAACAGGCTTCAATGTACCGCTGGATGTGTGTGTGTGTGTGTGTGTGTGTGTGTGTGTGTGTGTGTGTGTGTGTGGTGGTGGGGTTAAAGTAACAAGAAGAAGCCAATAGTAAGATAGAAATATAGGCTTCCTTGATACTGTTTAGAGAAGAAAATATGAATTCATGTGCATTTAAAGCCCTGCTGATATCATTGTTGCTCAAAATTAAATAGCAATTTGCATTGCCTCATTAGGGCTGCCATGTCTTGTTTTATTTTAAAAGCAATATTCAGTAAAGAATAAAAAGTGAATAGTAGAATATAATTGCTCTGTGAATGTAATGTGTTTCTATTCACCAGGTTCTCCATACAGAGATAAAGTCACCATCGCCATCCTTCAGCTGCAGGAGGAAGGGAAGCTGCACATGATGAAGGAGAAGTGGTGGAGAGGAAACGGCTGTCCAGAGGAGGACAACAAGGAGGCCAACGCCTTGGGCGTAGAAAACATCGGCGGTATCTTCATCGTCCTGGCCGCCGGTCTGGTCCTGTCCGTGTTCGTAGCTATCGGAGAGTTCATCTACAAGGCCCGCAGGAACGCCGACATAGAGGAGGTGAGTGAGGCTGCTTGTTCCTGTGCTGTGTGAAGATGACAAATGACTGGATTAAATGGTGCGTTTTGCTCACAGCAGACTTTAAAATAAGCTCCAGCATTTGAAAGTATCATCAAAGAAAGAATTACAGTTTAATTGTAGGTTGCTACAAATCAAGAGTTGTTTTTTTTTTTTTACGAGTTTAGAATGTTTGTTCTTTCACCTGTTTTCAGAAAGAGGAATGTTGTGTTTAGCTTTTCTTTACCAGTTACAAAGTCCTTTTTTTTTTTTTTTAAGAACAGAAGTGATTGTTCAATTTATTTGCTCAGTTTAATTAATTTGCTCAAAAATAATACTTGCACTTGCCGGCAGTGTGTTTGCGAGAAAAATCATTGCATGGATTTATGACTTATCAGTGTCTCACAGTCCTCAGCAGTAAACAATGAGCTACACAGAGTAAAGACGTGTTGAATTGTCAGCTCCAAATGACAGGCGACTAAACCGTTCATTCACTGTTATTTGTGTAACTTAATTATTTCTTATATTCCCAGAATATGTCATCAGTGCTGGATTATCCCTGAACGTACATGCTTTGGTTCTTCCTTTTAGGGACAAAAGGGGACAAAAACATAATGCTATGAAGGAGCAACAATATCACACATGATTAGTTTGTTTGTCTTGTTTTTGAGTTTCTTATGCTTCTCTTTTGCCATACTTTTGTTTCGTTATCTGATTTCTTTTTCAAGTCTGTTTATTTCTTTTTGTGTTTTCTCTTCCATCCTCCCTTTTTTTTTCTTTTTCCTTTGCGTCAGGCGTTTTGTTTCTTTTATGGGGTGCAATCCCGTCAGTTTCAGCGGCGCGGCTCCACCTCCTCCTCTGGCACCTCCTTATCTACCGATCTGGAGAGCGGCAGGCTGCTGGGGGATGACACAGAGTAGCCGTGGCAGCACATACACCGCAATACTCACTCTAGATGATAGGTTTGTAACCAGGCATCCCTCCCTCTGCCCTTGTTGAAAATATCCCAGCATACCTTGCACCTTCACCTGCAGCTTCACCCAATCCCAATTACTCTACTTTCAATACTTGACCCTCGTGCCCTGAGGATTCACCTGTCTGTTTTGTCTTCTGGTTGTGTTCGCTTGTGATGCCGGTGATCTTTCTGATACAGCTTCAGGCCATGATAGTCACTCTGAAACTACCAGCTTTAATCTTTTTATTGTAAAACCACAGATACATTCAGACAAAGTTTAATAAAACTGCAATTTGGTTTTACACAGCATTTCTCCTGACGTTTGACACTAGACTTTACTTTTATGGACTTGCAAACTTAAATGCATCTTATCTTCATTAAAAGTGACCTCTCATTTGCATGCTCATACATCATACATGAGCAGCACTTCACTGATTGAAGCCTGAAAATAGATTCTGATGATACTCAAGACATTAGGAAAGGTTTTTAAAGCGTGAGTCATGCATTTTGTTGAGTTGAAAATTATACAAATTCGGTGTCATTTTCAAATTGCAACATCCCGAGTTCACACTGTATGAAGAAGTTCAGCATGGCGTTAAGCTGTTTTCCTGCATCTGGTTAAGTAGTTTTCCAATAGAAGTTTTGGCCTCAGCAGACGTGTGTGTGTGTACTTAGAATGCCTTTTGGGAAATCAAAAGATAGGAAAAGTTATTTGAATATTTTCCTTCTCATTAACCTCATTGGTAGACTGGTTGGGTTGGCTGAAATTCGATTAACAGTGATTGAACAACGTGTCGAGTTAAGATGTCCCCCGACGCGAACCCAGGGCCAAAAGTAAAGTTGTAACTTCATAAATAACCTCTGGTGACTGCAGACCATTTTAACTGAAGTAATGATGGATGGGACCACAGAGGAATATACATTTCAAGGGCCTCGGCTGCTCCCCTGAACTGACCTTGTCATCTAGATCCATCTGTCTCTGAAGTAAAACCCAAGAAAATATGCAGTCAGGTATGGCAAATATTAACTACAAAGAATGACTGACTACCACCACCACTGAAGGGCATGAAATCAGTTCACATAATGAGTGCATATTATATAAACCCCGATTTCGTGTTTTGTGTGAGTGTGTGTGTGTGTGTGCGCGTAAAGGTGAAATGCACTCAGAGGGCTATGTGACGAAAGTCTATAACTCTGCAATATGACAAGTAAATTAATTTCAGCTTCATACTTGATTTAGTTCCAGTCAGGCGTGATTATATTTTCTACAACGTTCCACTCAGTCCAAAGCATATATAGCTTCAACCTGTGGTTTCTGGCAGCCTTTAAGGGCAGAATTGGGAACAAGGTAGGTTTTCTCCAGTGATATTCAGTGTTGCTGGTGTTCGTGGGAAACCCTGCAGGAAGCCACATTTGGTTGAGAAGTCTTTAGATGATGTCTGGAGATAAAACGGGATCTTCAGGTGTCCTTGGCTGTAAAGACCCAACAGATAAACCTGAAAACTTGGTGCTACGAATGATGAATTGCAAAATAAATTTAGCGAACGCACCATCCAGAGGGGAGCAAAAATAAAAGGCAAATAAGCGTGATTGAAGATTAATGTGTTCAATGCAATGTAATATTCAGCAAATTTCCTGGGGCTTTTCATTTCAGACAGCCTTCTCTTTGATAATTTCAAATAATTACCATATTATGAATTCATAGCTTCCTGCAGTAGGATGCTGCACAGCAGACACTGCCCTTCATCTCTTGTCTGTATAATTGGATTTTACGATGAGACAACAAAGTCTTGTATAACTCTTTTAGATACATTTACAGTTCATGTGTGTTTTGTCATTTCTGGACAGCTGATTAGAAGTTATTGGTTGCATTCTCACATCGCATTGGACTGCTAAAAGCTGTATCTAATAATTCCCTAACTAGTGCAGTTGCAGAGCAGCAGTATTTTCTTCTTTTTTTTTATGTTAATACATTCACAGCCTTTAAACTTGTGGCCAAAGTTCATAAAGATTGTAATGAATTTATTGGAAATCATCTTTATTGGTGTCTTAACCCTGGCTTTTAATTATTCATCTCTTTGGCAGTGCATGTCTTTTAGCGCCGTGATGGAGGAGTTGGGTATCTCCCTGCAGTGTTACAAAGGCATCCGGAGGAGGTCGCGGCCTCACAGCGGGGCGAGGTCAGCTTGCATCTTCTGTCAACCCAAACGTACCGCAAGGAGGGAGGGAGGGAGACGAGACTCTAGCACTTGAGCCTTGGATCTAAAAAAGAAAATAGAAAAAAAGTGATGGATCAGAGACTGCCATTTGATCGCTTCCCACTTCTCAGACTTGTCCGTGGGCCACCGACTGGTATGAAGTTGTTTCCTCATCAACTCCTGTCTTTAGACCATCTGTGTGGATAGTACATGAAGCATTATAACGTAGATGTAGTTTACAGCATCATAGCCTTGCACCAACAGTAATAATGTTTAAACAGGTGACGACTGAAAGAATTAAATCTCTCTCGTAGTATAAACCATCGCTGTTCCCTTCGTGGCTGTAGTTCACTGTTATGAGCAGTTGGCACAGTTGAATCTGCGCACTTTCTGGATTCTCCCATTGTGTAAATGTATGACGACTTCACAGATTTTCAGAATAAAAAAAAAAAGATTTTTGCATTTTTTTAAACTGTTGTACGATTGGTTACTGTTGTTGCATATAGCCGGCGGTGGTTTGTGTGCCGCGTGTTTCTTTTGTGTGCCTACTGGCAGCCGGCAAAGTGGCTTCAGAGTGGATTACTGAGCCAAGCGTGGCCAGTGAAAAGAGATAACGACCTCTAAGGAAAGATGGGAACACACCTGCTGTTTTATACCCTTCAAGCACCAACATCACAGACATCAAACCAGACACACTCACACAGACATGCATACTGTAGCCACATGAATACTTATGATCATAAAACATTGCTGTCAGTGCATCAGGTAAAAAAAAAAAAAAAGAAAGAAAAGGGGGCTATGATACAGGGAGAAGGGAAGGACAAAATGAGAAGGAGGGTTTTTTTTTCTTCTTTTTTAATGCGTGAAATCCTCAGGAGGTCAAAGACAAAACACTACTTTCTTGTTCCCCTGGGAGTAACAGTCTTGTTTTTCAATAAGTCCTTTTTTTTCCCAGCTCGCATTTGTCAAATCTGAAAGCCTGTGGGGAAAGCTTGTCTCCCAGTAGTGACAGTGGATCCCAGTGGATGTGCACATTCAGAAAAGAAAAAATGGAACAACTTCTGCCATGATGAGATTTGCTACTTTTTAAGTACATTACAAACTTGACATGCATGTTACATAGCTTAACTCCCTGCAGCTATTTAATTTATATTGCACTTGTGAAATGATAACGGATACAAAGCCTTAATATTAACAAAAAAATAATTATTTTGGAAATATAGCAAATTAGCATGAATATCCCTTATTAAAAGTCAAGTGAGGCATACGTGCTTCATTTAAATTTGATATTGTCTGACTAATTTACACATTCAGTCTGCCTTTGTTCACCTCTCACAAGCACAACACTCACCTGTCACATCTCATGATGTCTCACCTGACACATCTGAGCAGCCTCGGCAGCACTACCTCTCCAAGCATGAATACAGAGAGCATCCAAGACAGTCGTCACTGACTGACTCACACACCCCTACCAGAACTGGTGCTGTAGAACGTCAATTCTGATACCCGACACATGCAAAACCATCAATTTAACATCCCCGCACAGCACCATTTAAGCAGTTGTGATGACATTCATATTTTTATTGACAAATCCGCTCCTTATTTCCACTGAGTATCGACATTAGGAGCGTCCCCATATCCGGGTTTGTTTCTGTCCTCTGTCTCCAGAGTAAACAAAATTAATTCCCAGATGGACAAATGCAAGAGGTCACTTGTGCTCCTCATTTCCCTTCTCTTTATTTCTGGCCCAGCTTCTTTAATTTCTTCTCACACCAGTGCATGTTTTCAACGATTCCTACTTTTTAACCCTCCACTCACTCCACAGTTCACACCTGCACTGAAGTCTGTCAGCATACTGGATGTGTGATATGTGCTGTTCTGGAAAGGCACACACAAATGCACATTAAATTATACTGACAATGTTAACGCGACCAATACTGGTAAGTAAAAATCTTTTTTTTTTTCTTTTTTACATCAAAAGACTATTAAAATACATAATGCATTTCTTGTAATTTCACAAATATTGCTTTTAAAATTCTATGTAACTGTTTAATATAGTTTCTAAAATGAGATACAATTCATTAAAACAGTATTGGTTCTGTAATTTTACATAGATTTGTATTGTTTTTTTAAAAAAAAATTGTACTATTACAGATGTTTTTAAAACAAATACGTTTAATTAATTTGTTTTTAATCAGTGTCATGCAGTATGTCAATATATCATCAATGTTTTTATGTGTAAATATCTTTTATTAAATATTAAAAAGTCAATAGAACACACATGATCTGTTGTAAAATTAAGACTAGAAAATTCATTTTAATTGTGGAAAATTACTGTATTTATTAAGATTGTTTGTTAGTGTTCTTGTACAACATTTTTAGCACACCAGCTACCAGAATATTAAGTGTGTTCTACAGTGAAGTGTTGGTAAGGCACTAACTCCACAGGGAAAGACACAGAACAGACTGTTGATGGAGCACCTTCAGGCTTTCATTTTACATTCATGATCAATATCATCAAAATGAACTTCCAATGCCAAGCTTCTAGCAGCTAATTGAATGACATTTCAAACACGAAAGAGCAATAAATGACGTAAACAGTTTATAAACGACTTGAGTCAGAGGTTGTGCTGTGGCATTTCTCTCTGTGGACTGTGTGCACTGGTTTGTGTGCAACCTAGGAGAATTGGACCAAGCTTTTCTTAATCTCTCCGTGTAATGAGTTTTCTCTTTTTTTTTTTGGTATTCAGATTAATTCTGGGATTGGGCTCAGTCCAATGTAATAGCGTTTGGTAGTCTCTAATCTCCTAAACCTATAATTCTTAATCAAAACCAAAGGCAGCATTTATTTATTTTTTTTATCATTATCTAATCCATCATGAATGAGGCCATGGATTACAACTCTGACCTTGGCATTCTGCTCAGCTGAGCAAGACTCTTGTCCTTCTTACTAACCTGAGATGCCCTCAGCTGGCTAATGTGCTGCTGATGTCAGTTTTTTGTTTTTTTTTTGTCTTTACCTGTGTTCTTGTCCTTGTTGATTTCACTCAGACAAACTCTTTGCCTCAATGATCTTGAAATATGGAGCTCTCAACCTTTGTGTTGCTGGAGAGGTGAGGAAGAATAAAGGATAGTGGCATCTGTCTGCTTGTGTGGCCAGTAAGAAGGTCACAGATTATACATGAGCACCTCTTGCGCAGATAAAAAAAAAAAGAAAAGAGAGAGAGATTGAGAGAAAAATCCAGAGAAACGAAAAGGAGATAAACTAATGGCGCCTGTTGTTGACATCTTTAAAAATAGGCAGTATATTGTCCTTGCTGTGTTCATTGTTTTAGGAAAGGTAACAAAACACAATGAATCTCAGCAGAATTTAGATGGAATAAACGTAACCACCGCCGTATAAAACACAGCTGCCTTATTAAAATAAATTGTTGAGCAAAAGCTTGTTTCTTAACTATATGAATCCTTCAAACCTGTCAAGCCCGGTTCATGTATATGAGGCTCTCAACTGTACATACAAGTACAGAAGAATCAAATCTAAACTATGACTGCAGCATAAGAGAGTGGCAGACATTTGAGTGTGTCCCATCCATCACAATGAAATGAACAGTCTCTGGGGCTGATAAGGCAGGTCTGTGTCAACAGCCTGTCAATGAAGACAAACGAGGAGGAGGAAGACTCTTAGAGGTGCACAGCATCATTTATCTCCCTCTCTCCCCCTCTCTGTTTCTCTCTGTGTCTGACTTTCTCTCCCAACCATCTGAAGTCCCGGCTGTAAATAATTCAGAGTGAATGCTGTCATCTGCTGGCGTGCAGGTGAAGTGGCCTTACGGATATAAAGCATAAAGCCTCTGGTCATCAGAACATGGAAGAAAAAAAAAAACAACCTGAACTGCATGGTCTAATTTACGAGCTTTTTTGTCTTTTAAATCCATCTTCATGGGCTTATGGTCAGTTTGGCAGATTATAATGATCATGCATCCATTACGAATTCTGATCATATAAACAGATGGGAGCCAGCTTGTGATCTGTTGTGTCTCTGTGCGGTTTCCAGTTACATATTAAATATGCTGGTTTTCATTATTATTATTGTTTTTAGCTTCCGTGTGAAACCCCAGCAAAGTGTTGCTTTTCTCCAACTTTTAAGAAAAACTGCCCTTCTTTATCCATTTGCGATGATGCAGTTTTCCGCTAATTCAGATGGGCTTTAAATTGGTTTATTTTGCTCAGGCAGATGGATCATTTTCTCATCTCAAAAAGGAACACTTAATCTTACAGTTTATCTGCAACTCAAAATCACTGAACTTTCTAAATGCATGGCTTTCACTGGACTGCTATTAGAAGTAAGTCACCCTGCTCCATAAGAGAATGAAATCATGAGTTTTTGTTTGTTGTAGTAAAAAACAAATAACCATGAGCATTAAATACATTTAGTGTAGTACTTCCACACAGTTGGGGAATGAGTGTCAGATTTTACTCACGAGGAACAGCTGGGATGGAGTTGTTTATCTTGACTTATTACCTATATCAGTATATAAAAATCCTATAATGCAACTCAGCAAATAAATATCCTTGTTGTTAGAAAAAATAATTCACCTCCCTTGTGTTTAACAATGAATCATGTTCAATTTAATTTGGCTTTCTGTTTTTTTTTTTTCAAGAATTTACAAAAAACAAAGACTCACTTCATGTCAAAATGTAAATAGATTTCTATGAAGTAATGCCAATTGTATTGGGAAAGTTGCACCAAAGAAAAAGCCTCTGTTGGAAAAAAAAGTCTGATTAATTCTCAACTAGAATTCACCAAAAGGCATGTTGGAGACTCTGAAGTCAACTACAGGAAAGTTCTTTGGTCTGATGAGAGCAAAACTGAGCTTTTCGCCACCAGACTAGATGTGGCACACACCAAACACTACACATGGTGGCAACATCATGATGTAGCGATAAGGTATAAGGTAAGCTGAATGTGGCAAAGTTTAGGGAAATCCTGGAGGACAATTGCGACTTAAAACAAGATTCGCAAGACAATGACTGAAGCATACAGCCAAAGCTACACAGAAACTGGCTTAAAGACAACAAGACAAACGTTTTGGAGTGCTTGAGTCAGAGCCCAAACTTGAATCCAACCGAGAATTTGTGACTGCACATGAAAAAGTTTGTTTGCTCACTGTCTCATTGCAACCTGACAGAGCTTGAAAAGTTTTGCAAAGAAGAATGGGGTAAAACTGCAGCATCCAGATGGATGTGCAAGGCTGATTGGGATCTATCCACGCACACTTAATGCTGTTAGTTCTGCCAAATGGGCATCTACCAAACACTGACTTCAAGAGGGTGAATACTTAAGCAATCATCAATCTTATTTTGCAGTTGTTATGTTTAATTGACTGACCTTACTTTGTAGAAATCTGTTTTCACTTTGACATGAAGGAACCTTCTTTTTTTTTCTTAAATTGACCATGATTCAAAATAAAAAAAGAGAAAAACTTGTGAATACTTTTTATAGCCACTGGTTACACCACTATGCAACCTGTGCACTGACTTGTGAGAAACACCCCAAAGTAAAAGAAGTGTATAAGTGGGTTTGACCTGTGACTGCATCCCCCAAAATCTACCATCCAAAGAGTAAACAAACTGTGATGCCTTGTTTTCTTCCACAGGAGCTATTATAGCACGAGATGTTCACTCTGAACAACTGCCTCATTGCACAGCTATTGCAAAGCCAACGACCATCCCAGCGGTATGACCGTGTCACTCAAAACAGTGCTGGAGCTATGGGCATTTTTGCGGGCTAAAGTCATGTCATCTGAGACATTTAATTGGGCCCGGGCCGCCACAGGGGGACAGCGGACGGCATTCCTCCGCCGCCTGCGCCCTGTGTTGCTCTCCGCCGCGTGGCTGCAGTCCGTGGATAACATGTACATGCCCACGCAAACTTGAGCAGCTGGAGTCCCTCTGACTGACACTAGTGTAGAGGACGTTTTGGCTATATGGTGGGAAACGTGTGCTCAACTGAATACAAAATAATCTCGATAGAGTCTCAAGATAGAAGGGGAGGTCAGCTCTTGGAGAGGTAGTTGTGCCATCTATGTTGGATTTGCGCCGGGGCGCAGCGGCTGAGACGCGAGCGTACTTTTTCTGAAGACACTTCAACGCTGCTCCGACGGGAAACCGACAACAATCATCATTGGGGACGTACACGACTGCCTGATTTTTTACTTATTTTACTACAAGGATTTTTATTTTTTATTTTTGGGTTGGGTTCGTGCTACTTCAGGTAACACTGACCTATTGGCACAGACTTGTGCTTTTCAGCAGTGCATGCAGGAGATAGTCAATACTTATGGAATATGCTATTCTCTATCATAGTGTGCAGTATTTACCTCCAGTGTGTGCATGGGCTGTTTTATTTAACTTACTAATGCTGTCATATTTTGATGCATTACATGTTTTGATCTGGCTTTACATCAAAATTTCTCTTTGCCAACTGTGAGAAACATTTTTTAAGTGCTTATTTGCTGTAGAAGGTCACTGAGTTATGTTGTGTGAGACAGTGAGTTTAGAAGGGTTAAAGCAGGCAAATGCCCTGATATAAAAAGCCTGTACCTTCACTGGAAGGGGGGCATGCAAAATCCAGACCTCAGAGCCAGTCTGTCAAAGCTCTCTAATTATTTAATCCCACTGCAACTCTAAATGCATGATGAAACTGGTGGCTGTGTGTGTGTGTGGATATTCATAAAGCTACACAGGAGTGGTTTCATCACATGCTTTATCAAAGGGTCTGCAGACTTTCATTCCAACTCCACACTACACCTGCTGAGTTCAGTATTTCATTTCTCCTGCTGGTTAAAACCACATTGATGTGTTAAGTTAAAATAAGTTGGACTGACTGCAAACTGTACACACATCAAATCAGGGCTGAATTACAGATTTATCTGCCATCAAATGTCTGGAAGAAAAATTCTCTTCGATTTCTCAGATCCTAAGGTGGCATCTTCACATCACTTGTTATGTCTGTTGTAAATCAAGAGACATTCGATTTTAAGCTGTACAACAGAGAAAAACAGGAAATCATCACATTAAAGAAGGTGGGCAAAGTGTGTTTTTTCATGATAATGAATTGATCTAATTCTAGACAGTTTAAGCTGCTGTCAGTTTTCATTTGACTGATTAATTTCAACGTTGTGATGCCGTCTTTCATGAGGTCCTTCGAATCTAACAGCTGTGTTTTGTGCCTGTGGCCTCATGAAGGGATAAATGATCACCTCAACCAGAAGAGTGTCTCCTGATAAATCTGAAGTTAGAATCGCCTTCAGCCTCGATGGCACATCAGGTAAACACACACAAATACATACAATGCACAAGCACACACACGCTTTAGCTCACTGTGGACACACAAATGCTCACACACACACACACACACACACACACCTGTGTTCCAGTGTTTCAAAATCATGGCAACAACTTATTTTGAGTTGAGTTACCCCGATTACTCAACTGATCATTTAACACCACATGAAGCCCAGAGTTCTACTCTCACTGCATTTCCAGTATGTGTGGAACATGTGCACGACATTCTTCCCACCAAAACAGAGCAGGCACAATCTGCCCCGCGCCCTTACACCCTATCACTTTAACTGCGTTCATTCTTCTACACTGTAACTGAGACAGGTGCTCACTCTATTTCTGTGGGACCACAGCATAATAAAAACAAACCACACACGCGTGTGCGCAGCTGTGCAAAATGCGCCCACACAAACTGTTATTTAATCTCCGATCAAAACATGCACAATTGTCCTCACACACACGTACTCAAAGGTCTAGCCTACCTATGGCGCTAGGTGCTGCCTGTCAGGATGTTTTACTGCAGTGGGGCCAGGCTTTGGGACAGCAGCTTCAGCTATGCAATGGCAGAGTCAGGTTTCCCCTCTAATACTAACAGTGTCCTGCTGCCTGATTCACTGTTCAGCTTTTAGAACACTGGCCTATATTTATAAGCAGTTAACACTTCCAGTCCTACTCCACCCATCTCTGATCCCCCCTTGTCTTTCTCTTGTGAGATGAAGGGCTATAGTAGGAACGACACGCTCGAATCTGACCCTGAGCTGAGATTCTTTGAACTCTGTTCTGTTGGGTAGTTTGCTCATTACAGTATGATTTATTTTATATTTATCGTTTTTATTGCTGTTCTTTTAGTTCTTCTTTTATTTTCCCCATCTATAATAAAGCTCGACCTCAAGGATCACAGTAGTTTCCGAAGGACCTTGTTTTTTATTTTAGTTATAGCTCAGGAGTGTTTCAGGGACAATCCGACCTTACTTCCAAAATCACACTTTAGATATTCCCTAGGCGATCATGTTGTTGCCTCTTTGAACTCATGTTTCTCAGCAGGGGAACTTTGCTCCGTCTGGGGATCATCCTCTAGGCCCTTCATGACTTCATGCCCGGCATAGTTATAACCCCACACTGTGTCGATCCTAAGCATGAGAACTGTATTTATTCCACATCATAATTGGCCCCCTGGCTGTAGGCTGGCCCACTAATACTCCTCCTTTTAGAAGGTTGCATCATCCCAGGATTCTCCACATGTGTTCCACAACTCCAGGGGGACATTACTATCAAGGCAGAGGCCGGTGCAGTCAACCTGTCTGTATCTGTCTGGCTGCCTGTCTGTCTGAATCCCTCTCCGTCTATACATCTGGCCTGCCTATTTGTCTGTCTGCTACATAGTTGTCCCTCTGTATTCTTATCCTGCATGTCTTTCAACTTGACAGCTCATTACTGCTGTTCAGTAAGAGGACATGGCTCATTTATAAGTGCAGCTCTGTGTTGCTATGTTGTGGTGTCATACAAGAGGCCCCTATAGTGTTTCATTTTGGGCCATTTTATGAGGTGGAGAAAAGCATTAAAGCAAAGCAAATGCAGAACAAGTCGCTTGGCTGTGCGTCAGTGGCACACAGCAAACTATATTATGTGTATATTTTAACAGGAAACACGTTATGTTGATTTAGCAAATGAAGCTGAAATTACCATTGATTTTTAAATGGCTGGGAATGCTTTCCTACTTTACAGGCAGTCAGGTTTGCATGTTAAAATCAGCTTGCAGGGAGTTTTCAAAGGTAATCAGTCTGAAACATTTTTGATGTTTTAATGCTGAAGAGAAAACCTACTTATTAAAAGAAAAACTACATATTTCATGTTGACCTTCAAGAGGTTGTTAAAAAGAATAAATGCTCTTTCTTTGTCTTCCTGGGTTGCATTTTGGCAGTCTGTTCCCAATGTAAGGGCTTCATGCAACGCTGTTACATGTTTTAAAAACTGTCTCTGCTTGCAGTGCTGTTGCCACATGGTTTGAATCTGAGTCTGACAAATTTGTCTTTATCAAATTTCAAGTCTCTGTCGGCTAATTATAATATAATATTCAAATGAGTGAGAATCAGGACCATCTGGAAGGAAGAAAATCGATCTAAAAAAACAGTGGTAGAAGCTAAGTGCATTATTACTGTGGTTAAAATTACATTTCTGTTATTAGTTTAATCCTGTGCTTCTTCATACTTCTACTTCACTCATTTCAAGTTGAAAAAATGTCAACTTTAGTTACTTTGCACATTAAGATTTTATGTAAACTGCAGTATTCACTGTTGTAGATTTTAATACTAAACAGTATATTAATACTTAATAGCACCTCCAGCACCAACAACATTAACACACCCTACAGGTTAATGCACCGGCAATAATTAGCTATACAACATTCTAAAAAGGACTATTCTGTACAATAATTACCTTTTAGAATTTGCGTGTTCACTTTAAGTATTTTTACAGTTACAGTTTTCTGCTGCTTTTACTCAAGTAGAATACTTCTTCCACTGCTGCTGAAAACACACAGTATGCAATGATAAGCGGTCAGCAGTAAAGCATATGTGGTTTGTTGTAATGCAAAAAAAATCTAAATAGGACCTAACATTTTTGGTGTGATTAACTAATATATAATATTTAAGTTTTTATTGTGACAAAATGTGTTTTAATACAAATTGCAACATCAATTTAATATACAAATTTAATATGTTTTCATCTCATAGTATTGCTCTTGTGATTGTTACATCTTTCAAATAATCACTTGTAACTGATAAATGGGTTCTGTTTCAATAGACAGAAAAGATGCGGAGGACCTCTCTCAGACTTTCCCAGATCTTGAACAGCGATTACAGGTACACTGCATACATACTGCTGCATCTAACCACATTGAATACACAATGTGTTGTATTGACTGTGACCTTTAAATCCACAGTGCTGATAAAGAGCAGCATTCCCCTTTAAAGGGAAAATCTTCATCAGAATGTTATATGTGTGGCTCTGTTTGCAGTTTCTTGATGTACTTTTTCGAATGCCAGGATAGTCATTTAAAGAACACCAAAAAACACCAAGGAAATTATTAAAAATTATTTTATGCTTGGCTTGATTTCAAATGTTTTTTCTCTCTTAATCTTACTGCTGTTGTCATTATTGAATGTTTCATACACTGTAAAGCTGGCTCACATCTGAATGCCAAGGAACAAACTGAAGTGGAAGGCCGACCAAAAGTCCACAGTAAAATAAATAGATCAAACATAAATCCCATTAAAAAATAAACGTCCTCCTGGAATAAACTGGACATCACAGGCTAATAAATAAAACAGAGTATCTGAGGGTGGGATTTTCCTTTAAAGCTCCATTGTGTTCAGGGTGGTAGTTGAATCTTTAAAGAGGCAGAAGCTTGGCTTTAGATTATCAGTGTTTTTACTCTGTGCACTCACTCGGCTATTAGTGTTGTCATTGAATTATCCTTCAACGAGTGCCACTGCCAGGGTCACATAAACTGCATGTTGGTTTAGAGTATCAAAAGAAAACAGTTGTAGCTGGCCAGTGAACGGTCGCTTTCAAACACGTTGCACGAAATGTAAGCTGACCATGTTCTTTCTCGGTCGCATTTCTCCAAGTTTTTACATTTCTTGTTTTGACGATGTGGCGCACAAATTACCACATTGCAAACTGTAATTGGATTAGATTTGATCGTGCAAGTGACCTTGGCATGACTTGGACATGCCGTCTGATCTGGTGTCGGGTCTCCTGCTAGCGAGCCTTCCACCTTTAGACATGAAGCCCCCACAGGACCTATGCAAATCAGTGTCTTTCTTGCTTTTCTCAAGCACTGCATGTTGTACCCGTACTAATATAAAGAGATTTTTTTTATCAAAGCTGCAAAAACAGTTAATTAAGTCATTTAAATTATGTGTTTTTTTATTTGTTTGTTTTCTTTTTAAAGCCAAACCTTGCATAGAATTTCTTTGATTTTTAGACTGGATTGGCCAAACAAAACAAGACATTTGAACATGACACTTTGAATCTGGGAAATTGTGAAGTGCATGTGTTGCTACACTCAGACTAAAATGACACAGATTAACTGACAGTGCCTATAAGTGTAAGTTATTTGTACATCTAGAAGTAGGTTTAAAGCTAATTTAGAAAAAAATCTGCATTTGAATGCATTGTTAGGAGAAATAGTAACAGAACTAGTCCAGGTTTGTACATACTCTAGTGTTGCTTGGGTCATATAACACTCTTTATTGGTCACAGACATGTTTCTCTCTGACCTCTTGCAGCCAGTGCCACCTTGTGTTTCTCTGAGAGAGAGCGTTCAGGTGTACAAGGAACACTGCAGGATGGCGCGAGAGTTCCACCAGGTCAAACACGAGATTGCTGTGCTGGAGGACCGCAAGTAATAAATGACTTCCTTTGTTTATAGCGGCACCATTAACCCTTGTTAGAATATACCAGTGCAAGTCGTTGTGGTACAATAATAGCATGCCTGCATCCAAATCAGAGGGACTGTATGTTCAGATTATGTCAGTGTCACTGTTTGGACCAGCAGAAAACATGTGGTGTTGTACTGTAGTGGTAGATTTGTCAATGATTATGTTGGCCAGAGATGAAATGTACGGTAGAAAATATTAGAACTGTTCCTAAAATCAGAAATGAAATGATTTCAGTTATATTCAAATGTCTACATACTATTGCTATAAATGAGAAAACTAATCAGAATTTGCTGTAATAGTCTAAATCATGATGATAATACTACTACCAGTAACACTAATACCAATAATAATAATTCCTTGTCATGTAGTCATATGTCTGGGATTAAAACTTGTAAGGCTTTTACCTTCAAGTCCCTCTAGCACCACCTTTACTCAAAATGCAAATACTTGTAGAGCTGCAAATTATTTTGGACCAAATCGTCCACCAGATGGCACATGTTAACAGTGCAGCATTTAGCACATGAACTGACAGCATTTCCCTTAAAATGATTTTTGAACAGCTGGTTATGTATGACTTCAATTTTAGTTGTTTGTTTAAATCATTCTAATTATTTTTAAATGAGAAACGAGAGTGTGGGTGTGGAAGCTGCACTGTGCACTCGGTTTCTTTGCTTAGTTCTGAATCATATTTGGAAAATTCAGGGTGTTTCCTGGAGTGAATGTGGCACTACCTGCAGCCCCTGTCGGGTCTAATTGAATGAGGTCTGCTGCAAGCTTTAATGCACATACAGTATGTACCATATATGCTCGCACATAAGCGGGGTTGTATGTCTCACACACACACACACAGACACATACACACAGTGCACACTGTCCCCGGTGTCCTCAGCAGCTGTGGGTAGTCTTAGCAGAGGGATTTTCAAGGCCCTTGCTATTACCCCACCGCCACACCTACACGCACACACATACACACAGACACGCACTGACACCACCTACACCACTTCACAGTTCCTAAATAGAGAACAGCAGGCAGACTCTGATGGGATGAGTGTAGCCTTGAATCTAGATAAGAACATGATGAGTCAGACTGGTACAAACTCCTGCTTCTTCACGCTGACAATCATGCCAAGATCCACTGTTACACACACACACACATAGTTGAACGCACATTTATAGTAAGCTAAGACACAACTAGGCACAATAATATCACAAAATGTGCTTTCGCTAAAAATATGATTTCACTCATTTGGGTTCTTTTTGTATATAAGACTGCTGATTCTGTTTTCGGGATAGAGGATGTTCTCATATCCTCTGCTGTTCGTCATTGCCATTCAAAGATTTACGTCACACAATGAAAGTTTTGATACTCTGATATGAGGAAGTTGATACATAGAAAAACAGCAGAGTTTCAGACATACAGTGAAGTGTTGCAAGGATGAGTACAGGAATTACACTTTACCACACAGACAGGGGATTTTCCAAAACCCGCTGCTGCTTTTGGCCTTTCTCAAACAATTCCAAACTGTAATAGTCGCATGTATACTTGTTTCAACTCATCCTACCAACATAACATCAACAAAAAAAATGGACATGGTCAAAGGGAAATACACTTTTGAAAAAACTTTCCCAGACTGATATTAGCACTGAGCCTGTTACCGATACCATCATAATACAAAAACATTACACAAGAAGTTCTCTCACTGTGAAAGAGTTCCTAAAACATGACAAACAGGTTTGAGATTTAGTTTGAGATACACGGTAGAGTAATTGGGATAGTTTCATATCTGCTGATGTCTTTTGTAGATTTGTGCACAGAAAAACGTTTTGTACAGTTTAAATGAGACTTAGTCTGAATTCTCTGGTTTCTGGAAGGATTCTATTAAAATAAAAATATCTTTCCCTTTTTTCAGACTCTCACTAGCACAAACAGTTTTATATGTATATATTTTTAAATGCATGCATGCACACACGCCCACATGCTTTAGCCTGCAGAAAAACGACATTCTGCGCAAAAGTTGTGTATCTGAATCAGTAATGTTTCATTGCAAATCACACTAAATTTAAAGCTGAAAACTTGTGGGTAATAAATCTACGTTTTAATTGCAGTTGAAACAGTTCTGCAGCACCGAAACAGTTAAATCATGTTTCAGTTCATCGTAAAATAACCTGTTTCAGTAACCATGCATCTCTCCCCTGTATTTATCTAAAAATCTGAACCAAAGTTATGCTTACCAATTCAGATGGAATTACCAGCTTTGGAAATCACTGGGAAATGTGTAAAACAAGAACAGGGGGGGAAAAAAAAGAAAATAGATTGTGGTTGCACAGATACGCATCATACTTTCCACCAAACTCTTTAGTTTCTTACTCATGGATCTGATATTTCAGGAAATGACTCATCTGAACCTGGTTTCAAATGTAATCCAGGAAAACAAAGGAAAGGCCCGCAACCGAAATCCAAAATAATCGGAGTCAACTACTGACCTCGAACTGATATGCTCTTCGTCTAACATCGTCATACGGTGCATCTGTACTGAAAAACAGGGCTTTTTCTGTTAATAAATGTTGTACTGACAGTAAAAGTACACCAGATGTTCAGGTATTTAATAGTATGTCTACATCTACAGTATAAAAAGTGTAAATTGGAAAACAAACTTTCAACAATAGAACAAAAAAACATCACAGCTGTGTATGTGAATTTATCTCAAAAGTTGTGTCGACAATGAAACAAAGATTTAAATGACCAAACATTTCGTTGCATTCTTTCATAATAATGCCATTAAAGCCCCACACACTAACTGTATTGTACAACACAAATACATTTTTGTGTTCGTTGACGCTGCTGTTCTCTGACTTGGCAGTGAACGGCTGTAATGCAACACTGATACTCTCATTGCACACATGCATGTATGCTTACAATACCATTCAAAGTCCGAAGGCTCATCATTGTTTGCCAGGGGAAGTCAGGTCATTCTGCACTAAACGTTTCAGTTCAGTGAGCTTTATTAGGTAAAACAGCTGGGATAGGCACATTTTTTTTGGTTTAATATGTGATGTTATTAATGGTGTCATACCCATGACTTCCAGCCCACATGGACTTATCAGTCACCAAAAACACTGTTGCAGTGGTGAAACATGTCAGGCTTAAGCATAGCTCCTATCATTTAGCATTTGATCAAATCTACCGCAGAAACATTTCCTCTCTGAAATAGCGCTCACGTTTTTTATTATCATCTCTCCTGAGGAACTCATCAGAAAGGAGGGGCATGGTACTGTAAAGTGCAGCCGTTAAATGATCACATGATAAGCAGTAAAACATATTTGTCATCATGAGTCCCACGTAATCTTTTCTCTTGAAACCTGCTGGTCTCTGTTGCAAATAGTGAAATTCTGTGATATTTATTGACATTTTGTTCCACATAAGGCGTACATCTTATCCGTAGCTGTTTTAGTGTTTGTGATCTAGATTTGTACCATACATTAAAAAAATTCTTCTACATACTTGAAGAAGAATTTGCATTTAATGTCTTTAATATTCCCTTAAACCCTATTTGACTCCACAGAATGCTTTGTTTACTTGTTCTAAAAGGGTTAGTTTTGTTGCCAAACAGAATGCACGTCAGCCCTTCCTGTGAGTCTGCATTGTTTCCATGGTTATTTTGGCTTCCTCCCACATTCTAGAAACAAAGCAGCTGTAGACTATAAATTGCTCATATGTATGAATGTGATTGATTGTCTGCAAATCTGCCTTTCCTTGAACTGGGAACCTATTACGGGTGTTTTCCTGCCTTAGCGTAATGCTGGGACAGTCTCCAGTTCTTCCCAACACCTGATAAAGATTAAGAGGTAGCAAGAAGAGAACATTAACACATTTCTGGCTGTTAAAGTCTTCATCTTTCTTTTAGGCGTAAGCTGCTGGCGGAGCTGGTGGAGGATGAGAAGGTTGCCATGGAGATCGCCCGTCTAGAGGAGGAGTTTCGGCGTCTAACGGAAGAGAACCGCATCTTAGTGACCGTCCACAACGAGCGTGCTCAGCAGCTGGAGAGGCTCTGCCCGAGCAGTCGGACGAGGCAAGACTCCTCGTGACCTCTGACCTCCACAGAACCCGAGACCACCTGACTCTCAGCTGACACCATGCCAGGAAACCCAACCGAAGGCTCAGCTCAGTGCTCATTCTACACAACTGCAGTCTGTGAATCAGCTAATTACACAGAAAGGTGCTGTGTTTATTCATGTCTGAGTCATTCACTTGAACCACAGACGTACGCAGACGTCATCATCGTGAAGTTGTTAGTGATTCTGCCGAGCTATGACACAACGCCACTTTTTCAGGTTACTGTTATGTTTTCATGTGATCTTCGCGGTCGCTATTGCAATACCTAATACGATGTATTCGTGCAATGTCAGCTGCTGTGAATGTGACCAGATATTCTTGATGTCTGTCTCAGGTCCTGTGGAGACTCAGATCTTTTAGCTAAGGTCTGTCGAGCTAGCCAGAGGCGGTACGATGCGGTCCAAATGTTGTATTTTATCGAGTGTTTTTAACCTCCTCTTCCTCTCTCCCACCCCCAGCATAAAGATGAGTGTTTAACACAGTGTCAGGGATCTGGAAATTACAACCATTTGTCAGAAACACAAAAAGAAGAAGGGTCATCATCCAGTTCACAGTATTTGCTGCGACACTGTAAGCGTTGTACATTTTTTTTTGTTTTTTGTTTTTGAGTAGTTAATGTAGCGTACCTGTAGAAGGGGAAGCATACGACAAGATAAACTGTTGCTTACTGTCCTCATCTATTAATAAAATGCTTTTGATTTTAACAGCAGCATCAGTTCCTTAGTTTCATTTCTCCAAGCCAGTGCTGTTGCGTTTGTTGTGCTACGTCTATAGTACCACCAGGCTTACAAAGAAAAAGGAACTAGCTAGCTTCTTTTTTTTTTTTTTTTGTTAATGACGAGATTAGTTCATTCTGGAATTATGAAACAGTTACCAGATTGGCCAGTTTGACTCTGACAGGCTTCTCTCTTCCTCCAAATCATGTGACATACTGGCAACAGCGCTTTGCAGAGATGATTATCTGTTATAATTCCGCTCTCTGTGGCATAATTACACTTCTCTGGCAGTATTCATCTGTATATCATTTATTTACATTATTATGAATGTGTTTACTCATTTATTTATCAGTTGCTGACACCTCAAACACCAAAAAATATCTAAAATGTATAATTCATATGGGCAGCAGATAGGCAGGTGTAGCAGTTGTGCTGTTTTTTTGTTTTTTTTTCGTAGCTCTACCAGCGAGACATTTCACTCTTTCTGTTCCTGACCCACACACAATGATTTGCTTTGCTACCTGTAAAAACAAGATATGAGACAACAAGGACCTACTGGAAATTATTAACCTTTAGATTCACATAATAGCCTCCTCCTCCTTGCAACGGGTCAGTGACATTTGTTCTCACTTTTTGTTGGTGCATAACTTCTTGTCAAATTTCGCTTTGCAATTAGGTCAGGATGTTGGGAGGCAAACTTTAAATCAGAAAAAACAGACAATATCTTCTTTGAAACAACTGGGTTCATATCCCTCTGCCGTCACCTTAATCCCTGAATGATGTTCAGCCTGTTAAGGGATTTTCTGGGAAAAGCCTGTTAGTTTACCAGACGGATCCAAGGGTGGGATTGGTATGGACTGGAAAACTGCTTGCTCATCCTTTATCAGCAGGAGTGCGTGAGTCAGCGCTGCTATGTTACACCCAGAATTGTTGCAACACACACACACACACACACACACATACACACACAAGCACACACAGACACACACACACACACACTCTCTCCCTCCTCTCACATACTCACACACAGGCCATATGACTGAGTCAAGCTCAGTTGTTAGTTTGTAGCCGAGTTGAGATAAGGCTTTCTGGGAAACACAGCCTGGTTGGACGGCATTCCATTTAGAAATAACCATGTCTGCTCAGCAGCTGGGACTTTCTCTGACACCCTAAGAAACTTGGATACACAAAGTCAGCTTTGCAAGGTAGGCATGTCTTTGTTGGTATTTTGAAGTCTAATTTTAAAAGTCTGGAATGTATCGTGATACAGGGGCATTGGTTAACAGGGAGTGTATGTGTGTTTTTGTGTACATATAGATGTCCCTGATGGCCATGTCTGCCCCTCGGTCGTCTGTGTTTACATTCGAGTCTACACTGCATTCCTTCCATGTGCTGCGCTGCCTGGACGAGCAGCGCTGCCGGGACGTGCTGTGTGATGTTACGGTGGTGGTGGAGGGTCAGAGTTTCAGAGCCCACAGCTCGGTACTCGCTTCCTGTAGCGAGTACTTCGCGCAGAGGATCTCGTCTTCCCTCACACAGCACGGAGCCGTGATCGTCCTGCCACAAGAGGTGAGATGTCACCTCACGATGCCGCACAGACAGAAAGCAGTGACACGCAAGCTCTGCTGCCTCACAACAAACAAGTAATGTGTCTGAAAGTGAAGTGAGAAAAGTGACTAAAAGTGTTATTTCCTCAACAAGTGTTCATTGTGCCTTAGTTGAGGGATTTTTTTTTTTTATTGCTACTGAGCATGATCTTGACCTTCCACACTGAAAACACTCAGTAAAAACCACTGACATAAAAATATCTGTTATCAGTAGACACATCTAAACAGAACAGGTAATAAAACACATAAATCACCGTCTTGTATGGAAAAAAAGTGTAAAAGCAGTCATACTTGTTTGGTAAGTTCTGTGTTCTCTTTTATACAACTGTTTAATAAAATGGCAAGCCTGCTTTTATAGATGTCACATTAACGAGTTGTTTTTCTTTCATTCATTTCCTGTTAATCACATGTGAAACTGTAAGACCATAGAAAATAAATTTTCACGTGTATTTGGTTGCTGAGTGACTACAAGCCTCAGCTTTATTTACCACATCAGGTCAGTGGTTTCTGCACCATTTTCTGGCCAAAAATATAAATATAAATGTACTGTAGCTCCAGTCCCATGTCTCTTCCCTCCTTGAGATCACACTAGAAAACAGAAAGTGCTCACATATGTCATCTTTCTCTGTTATAGGTGACAGTTGCTGGCTTTGAACCGTTGCTGAAGTTTGCCTACACATCCAAACTGCACCTTGGAAAAGACAATGCCTTAGAAATTCGCAACTCAGCTTCCATTCTTGGTTTCAGAGACCTAGATGAGGCATGCTTTGATTTCCTTCTCCCAAAGTTCCTCAGCAAGGGCCCAAAAAAGACCTGTTGCAAGAACAAATGCGAGGGGCAATCATCAAAAGAGAAATGTGGCACAGACACTGACGATATATTCTTGGACGAGAAAGAAGTAAAACCAGTGGCTGACTCACCACCTCCGCAGGAAGTGGTTTGGGACTGTAACAAATCCGTGAAGAACAAAATGGGAAGTCAGAACAGCGCCGACATTCTTACACCTGTAGCTGACGGAACAAAGGAGTATTTTGTACAGTGTCCAAAGTATCGCAAGTTCCAACTAGCTTGTGGGAAGGAAGCTTTTGTCGCAGAGAAAAGTCCAGCTGCTCCAGTAAAGGCAACCAGGGGTGACTCTGTCCTGTCCTGCTCCAGCATTGCAAACAGTAAGAATGAAACTGAGACTGAATTTCCCGAAAATGCCTGCAAACAGAGCAGAGGACCGGCTGATGAGCCATGGAAAACTGAAATGCATGACAGGCAAACAGTGCACTGTGTGGGTAGAAGGGAAGTTGATATGGTTAAGAAAGACAGAAATGAAAGACAGGGCAAATGGGATGAGATGGTAAGAGAGAATGGTGCTACAAAGATGGAAGAAGAAATGAAGCTTACCACTGGAATCAGCTCTTCAGACTTATCCAGAGCACTCTCCTTAGAAACCAGCGCAGTACTTGGTGAGATGTCAGCAGGGTTAATATTGCACCACCGTCCCCGGAAGGCCTTAAATGAGAGCCCTGCCATTGCTAGTTCACTGGCGCATGAGAGGTTCGTCATGGACTTTATAGAAGACAAGAAAGCAAGGGACCATGGTGTACCAGCTTATATTCATCAAAAGGCAGAGGAACAGATAGAAGCTGAGGGAAAAGGAACATGTAACTTCTGGCATCAAGGACGGAAAGAGGGACCAATAGGCAGTATGGAAAGAGCAACCCCGTCAGTGAATACTTCCAGAGAAAGTGAAGCGGTCGAGCACATGAACTTCCAGGACTCTGAGGAAGGAGGTTCGGCTGATACTGGGAGCGGATGGGCTCAGAGCTCATCTTCAGAGTGGCTGAAGCTGCATAGTTCCACCAGAGCCAACTGTCCCTTTTTACAGGATATGGACCAAAGAAAAAGTTTACCAAGGCTGTCTGAGTGCGAGGGAGCATCTCAGTCAGGCGTTTCCTCCTTAAACTCAGGGGAGGATGGAGACTCAGAGACAGAAACGGAGGGAGACAGTGAGTCCTCCACAAGGGAGAGAGCCAGGCAGGTGAGCAGGAAACCTATGACTCAGGTCTGCTGATAATCTGCAGCTCGACTCTGTTCTCATGTAGATTTGTCGCGCTGCCTCTGAACCGGGGAGTTCATGTTGTACTGAAATTAGCCTGCGTCAAGCAGCGTCACCGTCACCCTACCTGTAGGTTACCTCACTGCGTTTGTTTTAGATAAGAACTTTAGGTACATTTTATCACACACAAATGACCGTTTGCATTCATGTGGCAGGAGGTGGATTTGCTATAGCGCCAAGTTAACTATTGACTCAGGAGAGATGATATGTGTGTGTTTGCATGCGTCTACACTGTGGCCATGTGTGTGCATCGCGCTAATTGGTTCAGAGTTCAATTCAGCTGAACTTCATGACTCAGTCGGCTGAGTTGCTAATGACTGTAGGTCAAACAACAGGTTTATGGAGTCTATCTTTTTACTGTCCAGACTCACCATTTGGATTTGAGTAAAAGAACAAAATGTGCAGTGACTGCAGAGAAAAAGCTAAGGTCATTTTAGAGGAAACACATTTCTTTTATTTACCTTAGATAAAACGCCAACAGATTTATACTGCTCCAATAAACTGGCCAGTGTACATTTCCTGTCACACATTAGCAGCAGCAGGTTTTTAGAGTTAACAATTAACAGCTCGGTAAAAATATAACTGTCTGAACTCTGTGTCCATTCTGACTTGGCTGACTTTCTCTCTCCTGGTGCATTTACAGCAAAGCCCACACTGACTTTTGATTAAATATTTCTCATTTCCAGACAGCGAATTTTATTTCATTAAATTCTATCCTTAGACTAATGTGTATTTCTATAGTTTTAAGAAATATATGTTGACAATGACATTTAGACAAGAAACCAAGCTTTTCACTACACGCCTGCTTCTCTAAAGGAGTTCTATGCGTACTCTCCTTGTATCTGAAAACCTTCAGTCTTACTAATTAAACAAAGCAAAGATTTTCATTAGTTTAGCACACAGTCACAGTTCCACGTTACTAAAAGCTTGATGTTACACACAAAAAAAATCAAGCATCAGTCATTGAGGATGCTCCTTTATTGATGTCGATGCTCTCTCACGTGTCTGCATGACCTTTTTCTTATTGCGGTTTCCTCAGATGCAGTTGCCCTACTCTGTAGACTGGATAGTGGATCTGAGTCGAAACGACTTCCAGCAGCTGCTTAAGAAGCAGGTCTTCACACGGGAACAGCTGGAGTTTGTCCACGACATGAGAAGGCGCAGCAAAAACCGCCTTGCAGCTCAGCGTTGCCGCAAGAGAAAACTAGACTGCATATATAATCTGCAGTGCGAAATCAACAAGCTGGTAAGTTAGAACCATTTCATTTTTCATAAAGCAACTTCTTGCTCGCAGTCATTCTAATTGGACTGTGTGTTCTGCATGTGAATGTCACAGAAGACAGAGAGGGAGAAGCTGATGGTGGAGAAGAGCCAACTGAGCCAGCTGAAGTTGAAAACATGTCACAGTGTCTCTGCCTTGTGCCAGAGGGTCTGCAACGAAGCAAATCTACAGCCAGAGCAGCTGCAGGTGTTAACCAAATACACGTCCCCAGACTGCCCTCTGTCCTCCTTATTTTCCCACATAGACACACTTCTTTCACAGCATGGGATGCCACTCCAACCCCAGGGATTGCTCTCGGCCTGTTCTGTGGGCCTTGATAAGTATATGACTGAGGAGGCTCCGTCCAGCTCCGGCAGCAACACAGTCACAGGATCACATCCACTGTAGATATACCTACAGCGCACATGCTGCACAAAAACCCATAGGAAGACTGTGCCTGAGCTCATGATTTCAGACTGCACTGTACCTCGTATCATACTGGATTTCAGGACATTACCACGTTGCCTGAGCACAGGTTGCAGTGTCAAGCAGTGACACATGATCCAGTCCAGGCCGTAATCAGCAGATGTTCTAATTTACTTGCTACCTTTTCAATTTAAAATGTATATTGAGAGGTTGGGAATGCATTTCTGGTGTTCAGCACCATTTATTTTGCTTTTCCCCTAATTATACGCCTTTGACAGAGTTCCGTAGCAAATATTTTCAGCATTGTAAATAACAAATTCCGATTTATATTCAGCTTAAAGGGGAAAACAAACCTGCACACAGAGAGGTGCATGTTGAGAGTGTTATCATTTTAGCAGTTAGAAATTCATAGGTTTAAATCAAAAAGAACAATGGTCTTTATAACTGTAACATACTCCACTGCTTGATTACCTCAGGATGACTAAAAATGAATCCTTATATGTACTTTAATTGTGTTAAAAAGGATTTTATATGGTTTGATACCAAACAATTCTCAGGAATCTGGATCAAACATGTTCCTGTAAACAGGAAAATTGAGCATACATTACCTCTTGCAGACAGTGTTGGTTCTGCCCTCTCCTACAGAGTGCGACACACCACAGCATTTTGCACCAAAACCACACAACTCAACAAAAAAGACTTGACATAGTGTGCCATGTTTACCTTTTGGTTTAATGTCTGGCTCTCTTTCTTTTCTTTTTTTTCCCCCCTGACTGTCATTGTGGTCACCTCTCACCAGCTCACCACAGTGACACAGCTCTTTTAAGTTGCACACACCTCACACAGCTTTGCTTTGACTCACTAAAAACAGACCTCACAAATTTACTCAAATATATTAAGTAGTTCTGTCTAAAGAAACTGCACTTTAGCAAAGTTTTAACCCCTGAACAAAACACAGGTTTAGGAGAAAAGCTGCCTCTAATGAATATATTTGAACAAACCAACATTTTTTTTCTGGCCTGGTTTCTTCTAACTTTTATTAGATGGAAATATTGCTTGCTAGCCACAAACGTGTTATCTTCACCACCTTTATCTAAATTACTGCCCAAGGACCAAGTAAACAAGTCCCTTTTGGATGCAGTACAAGCAGTTTTATGCTCGTTATGTGTGTCCCCTGTACCTGTACCTGTTTTCTATTTGCTTTGTGCATTCCAATTATTGCTCTATTGTTTTTTTTATTATTATTATTTTTTGCAGCTTTTACGTTGACTTTTGCTTTTTTATAAACTCTGCTTATTGTAAATATTTGACACTCAGGACTCTTCACAGAAAACGAGCTTTGCAGCATGTCTCCTTGTCTCCCTCACTTAACTTTTGCCAAATTTTATCTTCATTTATTTAAAGAGTTATTTTCGCTCATCATAGTCATCCCAGTGCAGATGGTCTTTAAATAATTTGTGTAAAAATATGAAATGGATGATAGTGTAAATACAGAAATTGCATTGATTTTTTTTTTTTGCAAAATGCTCACCACATTTTATTTTTTAATGACACAAGCCTTTGAGGGTGCATTCAAATGTCTAGTGGTAGCTAATGACAAAAGAATGTTTGTTCTCCCACTAAGCTGACTGCAGGGTGCACATGCTGGATACCGTTGGTGCTTATTGCCCTCTAGTGGCAGTACATGCACAGTTGGATGCTGCACAAATGTGTACTGTTGTGTACAATACACAAAATAGCTTTTCCTACTATGTTCATTTATTTTTAAAGCACAAAAATGACTGTATCTTCCTATGATCTTGTCCAAATGGATTCCAGCAATTTTCGGACCAAATGTGATAAATGTAACCAAACCAATAAGCGCAAAAATGCTCCAAACAGTAAAATATGTTTGTCTCCGACATCCTGCACTTATGAAGACATTCTTAATGCAATGCGCTGTTATTGAAAAAACATCAGTAACGTTAATGAGATGTAAAATCTGTCAGTGTTCAGTGTGAGTGATGAATAGCCGAGCTCATAAGGTCTTCGAGGACTCATCTTTCAACCTGGACAGATATATTAATGATTTAATACTGCGCTTCATCTCTCATGTTCCTCCCTCCTGAATCTTAGTCACTCACTCCCACTTAGTCTCACCTCTGTTCCCTTTTAATGTACTTTTCGAGTTTCTCTTTGTTTTTACTTTTTTCTTCACTGCTCCTCTCTCTCCAATTTGCTCTCTCTGGAGGCTATGTTAATTAAAAGAGACTGTTATTTCATCTCTCAATTTTCTTTTATGTGAGGAAATGTAACGTAATGCTCTCCAGATGACTGCAAAATTACAGTAAGATTTGTTAATCACAGTCATTTTGGTCATTCTCACAGGCTATTCATGCACTCATCAGTTTCAGAGAATTAAAGAAAGTCAATCCATGGGGGCATAAAGGCCAAGCAGGTCAACTAGACCCTAATAGATTGGGTGGGAACTGAGAGTCGATGACTTCTAAGGGGCTTAAAGGTGAGAAAATCACCCTAATGGAGGAGGCCTTTTGCCTGGGAAAGCATGTGTTGATGTTCACACGATGTGATTCACTATAAAATCCAGTCATTCCCGAATGGCTGCACCTCACTTTAACATACGTGTGTGTGTGTTTATGTATGTATGTGGCAATGAGACATCTTGGTACACCTCTATATTGCTAATTTCTGATAATGTGATGCCATAGAAGGCTATGAAAGTTCTGTGAGCATGAACCGAGACCAAGTTTAGGGAATGAATAACAATCCAAAATGAATTTGATTGTTTCCACTCTGTGATTTTTCTCTCTCTACCCTTCAGTGTAGAAAATGCCTGCAGTGTGGCAAACACGACAACAGATGGCTCCACCGGAACAATTCCTGACAGCGAGAACTAGGAGGCAGAGACACTTGATGAAAATTAGATCAAGTCTCTTCTATCATCTGAGCACTTGTAGCCGAATTACGTAACTCGCCACAAGACTCTGCTGGTCTCCATGTGATTAAGCAGGCTGAGTGTGTCCTCATCTAATCGAGAGTTATCACTTTTAATTTGTGTGAAATCTGTGTGTTTTTCAGAAGACAGCTGAGGTGAGCCTTTCAGCGTGTCGGTCTCTGTTTACCTGCAGGACCTCTTGATGAGTTGGTGGTGACCTTTTGTTGCTGTGAGATTTAAGTATTGCATCTGTTCCATTACATTTTCTCCTCTTGCAAACCGCTTCTCCCTCTCTTTCTCTCTCTCTGTCTCAGAGAATATGTGAGGATTTTCTGTAGGTGGTTCTTTGGCAGAGTCTGAGAACTACAGAGAGCATGATATGTTGGGCTCATAATCCCAGTAATGAATAGTTAAATCGGTGCCAGCTGTCGTCACAGGATGCACCAATAGACAAACTTCAAGAATTCGCTCCACAAAATCAATCTAGGATGAAATAAAAGTGTCATTTTGTTGTTTTTATGTTTAATGACAGATTTCAGAATGAAAATAAAATCCAGGAAACAATGACACCCGCTCTTACAACTTTGTTAGCATTAAGGGCTTTGCTAGGAAAGTTAAACCATATGCTTTATTTATGTCAGTCATTTATTTCTGTTAGATTAAGCTTGATGACTTCAAGATGACAAAATTCTTCCCAAGTATTTTTAGATCATTTCATGGCTTGTTGCTAGTGATGCCTTAACATGAGCTAAAAGCAGACGACCAAATCTAATCCCTCAGGCAGAGAATAATCCAGTCATGTGGCTACCTAATGAGAACCTGAGAGTCCTGGATCAGCCTGAACAAACACACACACACACACACACACACACACACACACACACACACACACACACACACACACACACACACACACACACACACACATTTGTCAGTCTAAACTAATAAAACCTGGAAGTTGATTCACTGTCTCTTACTGTGATGAACTGCGAAAGTCCCTCAGTTATCATGAGGCTTACAAATGTTTGCTCCAGGTTAAATGGCATAAATACGCTTCAGTGTTGAAAAGAATAGTAAAAACGACATGTGTGAAAATGTATTTTACTACTTTACAATGAATAATGAACAATCCGCTAGTGGCATCATCAGCCGCAGACATAGAGTTCTGTCTTGTTTCCTAAAGGTAGAGTCAGTGCTTCTAATCCAATCTACTTTCTTTCAAATTCAGTGAATATATCTTCGTGGCCCGCCAGCTGTCCGTTCTGTGTGTGCGCTGAAAAAAAAAATCTGGTGTTCATACACAGCCCTGGCTCTGTAGACAGGAAACTAACAAAGTGGCTTGGGCCGATCCACACAACACTATTCCAGCATGTCCTGGGCTAAATATCAACAAATCTGTCTCCAGAATCACAGATTTTACACTTAATCTTCGCAAAATGTATTTATTATAAAGTTCGGCAAGATCTTGAAGTGGGTGATGCTGTTCAGTCCAAATCTGTTTTAAAAAATGTATAGTATGACACTATGCAGATATCACATGGTGGATGGTGTCACACACCCTCATGATGAGCCAGACTAACACTGTAAAATTGTCCTGTGGAGAAAGCATTGTTTGAATCTAACACACCCTCATGTGCATGCTGTAAATTACCAACAGGAACTCACACATTAATGCATGACACCATTGTTCAGATCTATCAGGCTTTTAAACACTGTGCGGAGAAATAAGGCAACATATGCCTTTGGAAATACACTGTACATTTAAATGAATGGCAGCAGACCACGAAATAGTTGATTTTACCCTGATCGCTCACAGGCTGCGCCTCGAGGGGCTGATCTGGAATTTACATAAGGTCAGGATTTATCTCTGTAATAGGACACAGTAAGAAAGAAAGGCATAAGATTGGCTTAGTTTTGTGCAGATGATACGACCACCAAGTAATACAGAGGTGCAGGTTCCAAGAGACAATAACACCATCACATACTATACATGCAGTCAGAGGCTTCTTGTTGGACAGTCAATTTAAGTACTGCATCTAAGGGTCGATAGCTGAGCCTTTCCAGGTGAATATATAGTGCGTGGCACATATGTAAATCAGAGAATGAGAGGAGGTAGAGAATAAAGAGGCGGGCAACATTTAATAGAAACACACTGGAAAGAGTATTCAGAAGAGATGAGGAAAGAAGATGAGGTGAAAAGGAACAAGGACATAGAAAGTGGAGAAATAATCTGTCTATATATGCACAGAGGTGTGTTTGTGTGTGTGTGTGTGTGTGTGTCTGTGCATGTGCGTGTGCGCATGGTACAGCGAGAAATAGCTTCGCTGATGTTAGAGGATACCCATAAAAAAAGATTCTAGTTACCATGGATACTGAGAGTTGGGTTTTGGCAAATGAACTCAAGAGAGTGTCCAGTTTGCAAGTTCTGATGTGTGTTCTTCTGATGAAGAAAAATACTACACACATACACATATTAACCGATTCTGATAAAACTTTACTCTGATGTTGCAGCCAAATAGTAACACCAAACTTTAGACACAAGCACAACCACTCCCAGTTCATTAACAAACAAATTTCTACGACAAGTCTTTGAACATTTAAATCTGAACTGCCTCAGTAAACCTGCCCACCGGCCACAAAAGATCAGTTACATGAGGTCAGTTCCAGGATGTGTGTCTTCCTGCTGCTTGTCTCAACAGAAGTTGCTGCTACAAATATGTGTTGTTACTTAAACTGCCAGCTTAAATAAGGTTCAACAAAATAGTCAGTTGTAAGAAGGATTTTAAGCAACTTAACAAAGTACATTCACCACACATCGCACTCATAAAGGCATACTGTAAATAACTTAAAATAATTACAAAAGTGTATGTGCAAAATTCATATTCAAATTCACAATTACACAATAGCACATCCGGGATCCACCAAAAGTGGTCAATGCTGCTTTCTTTGGCGGGTGCAGAAAAGCATGAAAGAAAGTCTGCTCGTCTCCCACAGTGTTTTTATCCACAGGTGAATGTGGATGTGAAGGTAACCAGAACAGAAGGAGAACGCAGTCACACTTGCTTGAAACGGCGAAAAGTAGATATAAGCTCTACAACATCTCTGTTTGCATTGTGCTATTACAGTACACCTTGGGGTGTGTTGCATTAGCCACACTTGGAGCACTTAGTCCTTTTTCTCAGGGAGTTGAGGATGTTTCCAGGGCTTTTTTATTTTATTTTTTAATTTTTTTAAGCGAGCTGTTGTTAGAGGTGAGAATATAATCTTAAAAAGCTGAAAAGAATAGATGACTGACTCTTGTCTGGCTACACCACATCATGCCAAACAGTATAGACAGCAGTGTTATAATATACACTCACAGTATGACGACTTATCACAACTCTGTTGCAGTGTTAAAGGAAATGTGCAACTTCTGAGTCCATGTGACTTTTTTTTTAGTTCCACAAGAGTGCAACAAACTAAAATGTTCAACTCTCGTTTGGACCAAAGAAGCCAAACTGTACCGAAAAGATTAGATATCCTTGAGAGGTTGCAGAGTGCATCTGTCCCTCTTTGTCCGACTGTGCCTCCGTTCTCTTCAGTCCCGCCAACATTCCTGTCATTATTTGAAGCAGCCAGAGCAGCTCATCTGCCTGTTGGAGTCAAGCTGCGGTGAGATGGTGTCCGGTACCACAGATTTTAGGATGTCATTCTCTGTCGCCATGATGTGCTTGACCAGGAAGTTTGCAGCGTCATTGATGTTGAGATTGTCCTAAAGAAGAGATTACAGGACACATTCAATAATGCTCCAGCTTTGGTTAGCTTGATGTTTGCCTGTAGCACATTTAAATAGTATTCAGAATTTATTTATTTATTTAACAGGGACAATGCATTCATACATAGTACAACAATGCTCTGGTCATGTGTGCACCAAAGTGTGTAAAACTACTTTTTCTTGCTGCTACCAAAGCAAGCTAGATCTGTTTGCATAGACTACCTCTGACACTTCTGGCTGAACCTGCACCTCATAAACTTTGACCTCTCAGAATGTTGAGTCTTGATGCCACAAGAACGGCAGCACACTTACGCTGCTCCAACACATCAGTGTCAACAGAGGATGTGTAAATGGAGACAGCATTAGTAGAATTTAAAGTCATATTTAAACACTGCAGTATTTGAAGGAAATCAGTGCTAACTGTTATGCATCACAAAAGTGTCTTTAGCACGTCCACCCACAGTATTGTACAGGAAGTATTTGTGAAAGCCTGCATAACTATATTTTAAATTGTACCAAAGATCCCAAGATGCCCTATATCATGACTGTGATAGACTGTAATATGCACAAACCACCAAAATATACGCGTTATCTGTGGTTATATGACTTTGAATTCAGTCGAGGACAGAATATAAAACAGTGGAGTTCAACTGATTAAACAACTTTTCTGTGATTAGAAGCAGAACTCCCTGCACAATAGGGGTTTCTGAACATCAGGCAGTTAACACTTTATCACTTTAATAACTTGTTCTGACCTTGTTTTGTACATTTATCTCGTAGAGCCACCTTCCAGGAGGACATGAAATTCCATTTGGCTCTGTGGGGATGTTTGTTACTGACTGAAGAGACCTGAGTCAGAGAAGAACTCCACTGGGCGTGTCAGCCGCTCACTCCTACAAGTCCTCCAATCTGATCCATTCAGTTTCACGCTGATGATTTAAGCGGTAATAATAATAATGTTGAGATGATATGAGTAAGGTTTTATAACTTATGTCTGTCGATTACAAATGAAGACCTGCACAGAGGTGCTTGTAGTCAAAGTTTGCTACTCTCCAGTCTGTGTGATAAACTTTGCTCATCCTCCCTTGATGTGAGGTTCATGTTTACCAAATGATGGTGGTATCAGCTCATCTACATCTTCTTATCTACCTCTCAGCAACAGGGTAAGTAAGTAAGTGTGTTTCCAACCTTAAAAGGCCAGAGAGGAATCTGTTCAACCATTCTCTGGTCTCACCTTAGCAGATGTCTCAAACCAGCCAACAAAGCCATGGTCTTTGCAGAACTGGTCCATTTTGATGCCATTGTTGGTCAGCTCCCTGCCCTGGTCACACTTGTTAGCCAGCAGCACGGTGGCGATGCTCTGTCCATTAGACATCATTAGTTTAGAGTCCAAGTCCTCCTTCCACTTAATGACGGCCTCAAAGGTGGTGGGTCGTGTCACATCGAACACTATGAATGCTCCCATGGCTTCACGGTAGTAAACTCGCGTCATGTTGCCAAAACGCTCCTGACCTGTGGTGAGCAAACACACACAAACACACAGGGAGCTTCATTCATTGCTATGGCAACATTGTTGTCATCATTCATTAGTCTGCTGACAGATTTCCATTGTTTTCCTGCATTTCTGCAGCAAAACAACGAACGCAGCTGACGTTAGGGTGGCAGTTAGTGGTGCCTGCATTCCCATGAAACAGCACATTCCTGTGGTCTTACTGTCACGTTGCTCTTAACCAGATGGTCAATGCAATTACTTGTTCCTGCTGGTAATACGCTTACTCAAATTAAACCTGTATTTTGCAGGTACTATAACTGTATTCATGAATATCTGTGACAGCATACTAATGTGAAAAGTCTGTATGTGAGTTCACCCATGATTGTGTGTTGTGCAGGGAATGGAAATGAGGTGCTTGAGGAGCAAGTTTGCTGTCAACGGAACATTCCCTCGGGGGTGTGTGCCGTCTAATGTGACTACTTGTTGGTCCAGAACTGAGCATGTAAGTGCGTGCATCCTGCTTGCTGTGCATACGATGTCCTCACAGCAGAAAAGTTTACGTGGTTGATAAATATTAATGAAGGACAGGCCACATTTGGCTTTGCTGGAAGTATTCTGACAAGGACAAAATGCTGCTATTTGCATCGCGAAAGAAGAGGAAATGGAAAAGCTGACTGGCCACGGATTGACAGCTTCCTCCTTTCATGTGAGAGGATGCATGAGTGATTTTCATGGCTAATCAGGAGCCCTCATATGCCAGTGGTGTGACAGCAGTCTCAGACAGACACACACGTCACACATGTCACTTGACACACTGTCATTCATTGTGATGATGGCGCAATTTACATTTTTGCGTGACTTCAAAGTCCACATGTAAAAATCCAGTCCATGAAAGACAAGCTTTATCCCTATTTCAAGCAGGTAAACAAATCAGCTGTGGGCTATAAGTGGATGTTTAAAGCATGTCCCTGCATGTGTGTGTGTGAGTGGCTAAGCAAGGATGTTTTGTGTTGTTGTTTTTTTATCATTAATTTGGGCTACAATGACACTCCTGTGACTGGCCTTTAAATCTCCCTCACATGGGCCCTAATCACATGATGCAACATCATACCTTAAGTGAATGACTGAAGACCAGTGTGATGGTCTTCCGTAAGCATGTGCGTGTGTTGGTGTGGTGTGCGCATGTGTGTGTGAGAAAGTTGCTCTCCGCAGTGACAGTGCAAACTGAAGTTGTGAATGTTTCATAATTTTACAACAGTAGTGCATCACTGTCAGCTTGAAGATAAGTATTATCTACTCTTATTATCACATTTTCAGGAACTGAAGCAGCATTGCTAAACATTGGGGCTTTTTTTCAGTTTGAAAGGGTTCCTTAAGTTTTTGCACATTTAAACAACCACAAAAAAAATCCCCAAAACTGAAGCAGGAAACGGTGCGCATACTGATCCATTATACCCATGTATTACACTCCGCAGTTTCCAGGTAACTTTGATCTGCTGTCACCTGTGTTGACAGCAGGAGATGATATCACTAGAATTTAAATTCTTCATTCTCTCACCTGCAATGTCCCACAGCTGAAGCCGAACAGTCTCAGAGTCCCAGTTCAACACTTTCAAGGCGAAGTCCACCCCGATAGTGGCTCGGTAGTTGGTGGAGTAGGTCTGATGGACGTAGCGTCTGATGATGGAGGTCTTCCCCACCCCTAGGTCTCCGATAACCAGCACCTTGTACAGGTGCTCCTTCCGGAGACTCTGCATGCCGTTGGAGTGCGTCGGGTAGTTGGTCATCCCACCTGTTGGAGCGGCTCTCAGTGACTCTGACTCGAGTGCGCTCTGAGACTTCTCTCCCCGGATCCCGTGTGTCTCCTTCTCCGGTCGGGTTATGGAACCGCCCTGTAGGAGGAAGAGTGTGATTGCTCGGGGGCCGTGCTTGGGAACTTGTGACCTCGCCTCGGCACCCTGGGGAGACCTGCAGTGCGCACGGGTGGCATCGTGAGTGTCTGCTGAAACAAAGTGTTGCTACGGTTTAACCCTCTGTGCGCCGCGCAACAGTCACCTCTACGTATCCGCTATTTATCTCACGAAATATTAAGTATTGGTTCCACAATGTCTTTACTTCTCATTATTTATGACTTCTTCTTCTACTTCTTTTTGTTCTTCTTCTTTTTTTTTTTTTTTTGCATTTTACTGTCCATCCTGTATCACCATAAACATGTCGAATCTGTAATCTAAATATGGCA